TTCCCTGTGTTATTTTGCAAACTTTTTTTATGGTGCTTTTGGAGTAATGGCTTTCTCCTTGATGAGTGGCCTTTCAGCCCAAGTCACCCGTTTTACTGTGAATAATGAAAATTTCTTACCACCCAGCATCTTCACAAGGCCTTTTGGTTTTGTTCTGGGGTTAAAACACACAGTTCACGCCATAGCACGTTCATCTCTGGGTCACAAAATCCTTCTCCTTCCTGAGTGGTATGATGGCTGGACATTCCCACGTTGTTTATAATTATGTTTAATTGTTTGAACTAATGAACGTGGCACCTTCAGGCATCTGGAAATTGTACCCAAAGAATAACCAGACTTGTGGAGGTCCACAATTCTTTTCCTGATGGCTGATTTCTTTTAAATTCTCCCATATTGTCACACAAGGAAGCAGTGTGTTTTGAGGTTTGCCTTGAGTATGAGTCTAAAGATGTGCCACCAATTAACTCAAATGTTCTCAGTTAGACAATCAGAAACTTTTAAATCCTTGTCACCATCATCTGAGCTTTTTCAGAGGCACATAAAAAATTCTTAAAATAATATCTCTCTAAATATTCTGCAATTAAGCGCATGTAAACATTTTTGGCAATCTTTACGTAAAAGAGAAAAAGTTTAGCTTCCACTTTTAAAATGTCCACTACACCCCTGGTCACATTTAAAAACATGATTATGCGCCTTTTTATACAGTGTATGTAAACCTCTGGTTTCAACTGTAGAGTTATATCTATGTCTATAGTTAGTTTTCATTTTAGTTTTGGTTATTTTAGTTTCCATTTAAATAAAAAATTTATATTTTTAACAAGTAATATTTTCTAATTTTGTTACGAGGAGTCTGACACGGAGGGATCCATTTGCAGTATATTTATTAAACAGTTTAATCACAATCACACAATACGCACTTGCGTGCGAACTCACATCAAACATGGTTAGTATGGGTCTAAGGGCTGGCTGTCAAGGAGTATGATAGCAGGCATGGGTCAGAGACAGGCAGCGTGGTTCAGAGGCGAGATATCAGGCTGGGTTCAGGGCAGGCAGCGTGGATCAAAGTCAAGGGTACAAGCAAGGTTCGAGGCAGGCAAGGCAAGGCAAGGCAAGGCAAGGCAAGGCAAATATACAGTCCAGGTAATACACGGGAGATCAGGCAAGGAAATAACGCTCAGTAATGTCAGACAGGGCAGAACAAGACTTCGCAACAAAGTGAGTGTGTGTGCTGCTTATATGTGTGTCTGGGTCATCAGTAGAATGAGCTGCAGGTGTGTGTGGCAATCAGTGTATGAGCATGACGTAATGCTTAGAAGTCCGGTGATGGTGACCTCTGCTGGCCAGCGAGGGGAGTGACTGGGACCGAGTCGGTGACACATTTTCAGTATATGCTTATTTAAATCCAAGTGACAAAATGTATTTGAGTTTTTTTTTTTTTTTACTTCGAATTATTCACCTTGATTCCAGTTCTCTGTTTGGTGAAATATTCAATGCAGTGATTTTTTCATTCACATAAATGGCTTGATAAAATCTAACAAGTGTTTTTGTTCAATATTTAAAGACTTTTTAGAGATTAAGGATTATTCACTCTTGCAAAAGTGCGCTGTACATTTCGCATTTGCATTCTTGAAGTGATTTGTTAAGGAGAGAGTGCAAGACAAACTCTCTCATGCTAATACCCAGAACTGAGTCGACAAGACCGAGTTGAAAAGAGAGAAAATGTGCCGAATCTACAAAGCAGTCAGGAACAATACAAGTTCTTGCAAGTTCTTTGCACTCTTATCAGAGCTCAGCAAAATCCAGCCCTTCCTTGCCATTTGCAAGTGTAGCAGTGTAGGCGTGCTATTCCTTTTTAATTAGACACACTTGGCTTTAAAGTGCTGCTCCCTGAGGGGTAAGCTTTGTGCAACTGAATCGGCTGCAAGGAGAAACTTTAGAGGAGGGAATATTATTTTTTCAGGCTATGCATCAGTGTTTTTTGAGGTCTTTACAGCCCCATTTAAGGGACAAGGCATGGTATAAATTATGTTGTGCAAAGATTTAGCAAAGTTGAACAGTGACAGATTTGGCAGGGTGAGTTGTTTAGAGATATCTTCAATAATAATAAAATCTGGAAGGGCATCCACTGCGTAAAACATATGCCAGAATAGTTGGGCGGTTCATTCCACTGTGGTGACCTCTAAAATAGAGACTAAGCCAAAGGAATATGAGTGAATGAATGTAACCTTATATTTCTTATTTTTCCTGTTTAAATTGTCTTAACGATAAGCATATTGTCTCAAAATTTTTATGCAAAAATTATATTTTAGGCGTTTTCATATTTTAGAAATGAAAGTCTGGCTATACAGAGGAAATAACTCTAGTTTAAGGTTCTGATCAAACAGCAAAATGCTTTTAATCAGTGTTTTTTTCCACTACCAAGATTCTTAAAACAATATATATATATATAGTTGGGAATCAAAATGATCAGAGATATTTATTGTTTCCTTTTGAAACGAATTTATGATTCAACCAAGAACAAATATCTTCTGGTTGTCTCTGAAGAATCTTCAAGCTAAAAACTAAAATGCAATTCAATATTCATACCCCATTATGGCCGTTTGTTTAGGCATTTACTCTCACAATTTTGTTTGCATTCATTTTGTCTGCATTCCTTTCAGATCTCAAGTAAATGAGCAAAACAGTCCAACAAAACAGGCAAGAGAGGGCAAGACAATAAACATTTGGCACTAGGCTTACAGCAAAATCACATGTTGTGTCCGATATTGCCCCTATACACTCATTCACTACTCTCTTCATTTGTTCACTAATATATTGTGCTTAAAGGAGTTAACTAATATGAGTGAGTGAATTTGAGCACTTACATTTAGTGCACTAAAAGATATGTAATTTTGTTTGTGCTTTGATGGTCGGTATATCCTTCAGACAGATTAGATATTTGATTTCTCGGTAAAACAGTGTGATAGTTATTTAACACATAGTGAGAGAGGTCTAGTAATGTTTTTGATTTCTGTCATGTATACAATTGTTACTTTACTTTAATACTTCCAGAGATTACAGATGCACTTGAACACTGAGAAGTGAGGGTTTTGGAGTGGCATGGAGGCCAGGGCTGTGCAGCAGAGGCAGGCGATGAGGTAGTGAATGGCTTGGCCATGGAGCTGTGGCAGGCTATGGAGTACTTTAGGACCTGCTGGAAAACATGTCCCATCGGTGCCAGTAAAGTCCATCCATCTATTTTTTTTTTTAAATTAAAACTTAATTAAAAAATAATTTAGGCTTTCATATCACTAAAATCATTTAGGCCTTTATATCATTAAGTTGAGGTCTGATGGTATCACTTTCTGAATGGTGGACAAATGTGGCCATCGTCTGCATAAAAATGAAATGACAACACATGCTTTCTGATTATTGAATAAAAGTAGCAGATACAGAGAGAAGAAGACAGGACCTAAGACTGAGCCCTGTGGTACCCCACAAACAAATGGGGTCAATAACAACCCAGCAAGCATTTTTTGGTTTTTGTCTTTTTTTTTTTTTGTAAAAGATGTATAATAGATGTCTAATGGACAGCTAAACATAGTCATCTTGGCTAAAACAAGGGTAAATTTAGGCAGTGAAAATCTAATTGATGTCTAAGAATAGGCCAAAACTACACATTAAATAAACAGAAATGAATGACACATATACAGTAAAGCATGTCTAATCTGTCTATTTTACAGATTTTTGAGCTATTCTTTAACGTCTATTAGATTTTTCACTGACAGCCCAAGTTTAGTCTTGTTTTAGCCAAGCTGTCTATGTTTAGATATCTATTAGATGTCTATTAAACACAAAATTGTTTGTTGGGAATTGACCACAATTGATGCAAAAAGTGTAACCATCCAGATACCATACACTTAATACACCTGAACCATTCAAGTATCATACTGCAGCCCATCCACTGTTCCAAACAATGAAAAGCAATGTCCTGTGCTAATGAAAAATGCATTTACTCTCTTGGTAGCTGTGGAAGTTTGGTTCATTTAAATCTATATGAAAAATGTTATTCAAGAATTCATACTTGGCTCATGATTTATACGTAGCTTGTTTGGCATGCTGTCCTGGGAGAGGGCCCTGAGGTCAAGGGATGCTTGAGCCCAGGGCTCCCTCCCTTTCGCAGGGCAAGGGGAGATTGAGCTCAGGTTGATCTCGAAACTCCCATGCTGCTGAGGCTAAGGTGAACTTCCTGCGAGTAAGGCATTAGTTCTTCAGCAAACCTCTGCCCTTCCTCAAATGATCCAAAACACAGGCAAGGAAACTCTCACATGCTTTCAGAAAACGAAAACCAAGCTGTAGAATGGCCCAGCGAATCACCTGACTCGAATCCAATATAAAATACAAAATAAAGATTAGATTGGCAAAACACACAGAAACATTAAGATTTTTACACTCTGTTCAAGTCTGTGAAAAAATCTCACCTGAGCAATACATGCGACTTCATTCTCCATATGAGAGGCGTCTTTATATACATTCCCATGGTTTAGGAAATTGGGTGGGCGGGTCAATCTGTGCTTTTAAAAACACTATTGGTTGTGTTTAAGGAAGGAGGAGGGTAGGTCAGGGTTGTTGCTAGATCGGGTATGGTTGCGGCAGAAAGTTAAAGAGAATTATTTATATTATTTGTTAAATTTCTCATTTATTGTATTTTATTAACGCCTACCCCTACCCCAACCCTATACCCAACCGTCACAGTAAGCTAAAAACAGCTGTTGTACCGAGTATTATTTATGCTATCTATTAAATTACTTTAATATTATTTTACACTCTGTTCAAGTCTGTGAAAAAAAACCCACCTGAGCAATACATGTGACTTCATTCTCCATATGAGAGGCGTCTTTATAAACATTCCCCCCACTGTAAATACTTTCACTAGTTAATGTTTAAAGGACTAAATCAGCTCCAAAATTTCATAAGACATTTTGCCCCTTTTATACCCTTTGCTCTGTTTTGTTTTCTAGTACCCTCTCGAAAACACAGCGCCTCCCACTGGAGACTCCAGAACATCGCTCAAGAGTCTGTGGAAAGCTCTGACGAGGAGTTTTTTGATGCCCGAGGTAAGAGCTATTCTCATTCCTGTTCATTATTCATTAGTGGAAAGCACTGGTTGTTCTAGGAATTGAGTTTTAACGAGTCATTTGGAAAGCATCATACGTTGCCTGCGAACGTGATCCGAAAACACCTGTCATTGAATTATAGGGATTTTCATTCAAACCCTTAAGCTTATTATTTCACAAATCGCAAACCCCAAATAGCCTTTGCAACATTCAGCAGTTTTTTTCGGAGTGTGCATTGTACACAAAATACCCCCAAAAAGCAGCTAAAATCCCTTATGGAATTTGGACAGACTTCAAACAAAACTACACAGAAGAGATTATTTCCGAAGGGTGTGTGGCTACAAACAGCAAACTGAGGGGGATGTTCAAGACAAACCACTTATGACTTCAAATAGAAAATGGCATTCAGACATCATACAAGTCAAGCCTAAATTGATTGAGAACACGTCATTGCGTCTGAGAGCCACTCAAACAGCTCTTTTAATTCATTGGATTCCACATCCTTTGTTGTAAGATGTACATTACATCACTGCATGGACATACCCGATGCTACAGGATCCGCATTTCATTTGCAAAGAGGTCCAGAATGTCTGATTCATTGCCATCCTTCCTCAGTTTGACAGCCAGTCGCAACATGGAAGAGGTTGAAATGATACATCACAACACGCATGCACACTGGCATTACCAACCTCAAGGACAAACAAACACATTTGAATCACTCTTGCTGATGCAAAAATGTGAGCGTGCACTGTTATTCAGGCTCACATTCCCATTTGTAATAATAAGAGTTATTCCCTCAGGTTTGCACAGAGTGAACCCGAATGGCGGGCTTATTCCGGACAACTTATTAATGACTTGCATCTGTTGATGTGATTTTTGTGTGTGTCTGTGTCTGTTGGGTAGCAACCAGCAGGTTTATAATTTGTTCAATTCAGTTATTCATGAGATACAAATTGCCCTGCGGTGTTTTACAAGCATCCGGCGCTCTCAAGTAGCATTTGTGGGAATTTTTATGGACAAACGGTTCTTTTGTTAATCCCAGTGGTAATTTGTGTGTGGAAGTGCATTGAAGGCGCTACAGCATTTTGTTTGCATCGGAGACTTATCACGCATGCATTAAACCAGATTGCTGTCGGCGGTGGAGTACCTGCAAGTGATTATGGCTGCAATCTCTACAGAATCAGTTTGTGAGTTCAGAAGCAATATACTCATGTAAAATATACATGGCCATGAATCATTTAGACTTTTGCATGACGTTGCATTTGACTTTAAAAGGTTAGTTCACTAAAAATTTAAAATATGTCATTATTTATGCTTAAAAAAAACACAAATAAAGACTTTTTTTTATCATAAAATTTGAGAGATTACAGTCACTTCATTTAAAGTTTGTTAATCTGATGCAACAAATAGAAAGATTACAAAATAAATGCATATGAATCAAGCAGTTTCTAAATTGTTGCTATGGTTTAGGGAAGTTAGTGGGCAGGCGGGTCAATCGGTAAAATTGGTTGGGTTTAGGGAAGGAGGAGGTTGAGTCAGCCGATTGGCCGGTCGCACAGTCAATCATTTAGTCAGTCAGACTTATAGATAGCCAATTATCACTTACTGAGCTGTTAGTTAACAAGTTATAAATGACTTTTTAACAGTATTTTTATGATTTATAGCTATAACGAATAAATTACTAATAGATCATGAACAAGCTGATAGTAAATTACTTACTAAAGACTTGTTAAGTATCAGTTAACAGTTTATATATGTTATTGGGACGTTATTCTAAAGTTGCAACTATTCTTCATTTATTAAGTTTTAGTAAATGAGCAATTGTTGCAACTAGAATAACGTCCCAATAGCACACATATGCTAATAACTAACACTTAACTAATATATTTACTCACATTTTACAGATCAGTTGTTTATAGTTTGTTAACCGTCTACTAATACCAGTGAAACTTTGTAGAACAGCAAATGGATGGAACTAGTTCAAGCGACAGAAATTTGATGTGATATTTAAAATATACAATTTTTGTACCTTTACCTTGTTCCACTCATAGGCTTTTCTGTGTGCTGTATTTTACCAAAAAAACTCCACAGATGAAATGTTGAACGTTGTAATGTATAGAACCACACATACTGAGCCATCACATGGCAGTGTACAACAGAATACAAACCCATGATGTTTGGGCACTTTATATATTAGTTTAGTGTTAGTTATTAGCTTGTGTATGTTATTGGGAGGTGATTCTAGCTTTAACAATTCCTCATTTACTAGCAGTTAATAAATGAAGAATAGTTGCAACTTTAGAATAACGTCCCAATAACATCTATAATCTATTAACAAGAGTTTAGTAAGTAATTTACTAAAAGCTTATTCTTGATCTATAACTAATTTATTAGGTATGGCTATAAATCATAAAAATACAGTAAACAAGTCATTTATAACTTGTTAACTAACAGCTTGTAAGTTATCTAATGGCTAACTATAAGGCACAGTTATAAATAATTAACAAACTATTAACTTTTATTTAACAAGTCAATTATAACTTATTAACTAACAGTTTGTTAATGATCTATTAACTACTTATAACGGATAGTTATTCTAAAGTGTTACTAAAATGGAAATTAAAAATATTATTAAAAACACCTGATGTGAATTATTTGCTCTAAACGGAGTTAACAAACCCTGCTGTATTTTCTTGTTAAAGAAAGTACACCGCCATTTTGTCAAGTGATGATCTTGTAATTACAACTTGTCAACTTGTCAAAGACACTGCCAGATTTGTGTCCAATTTTAAAATCCGAACTGCTGTGACTGTGATTCATTTTTGAATCTGCACGAAGTGTGTGTTTTTTTAAACTTATTATTATTATTATTATTATTATTATTATTATTATTATTATTATTATTATTATTATATTTATGTTATATTATTATATTTATATTATATTATAATTATATTATTATATTTACTTATTATTATTATTATTATTATTTGTTTTTATCTAAGCAGTAGGTGGTGTAACACTTCATACTGGTTACCAACAACCATGAAATGAGAAAGAAGAAGGGGGTATGATGTGTTGACGTATATGGTGCGTTACAAATAGTATATAATCAACACCTGAAGGTCACTTTGCTGTGAAAAAAAATTCATGTTTTGAACTAAATCATGTCTGCCATATTGAAGTGTTGTTCCAATCCAACCCGTCCCCCCCGGGATTTACGCCCATGCTCAATTATCTCAGGGTGTTGTGGCTGTTTAGAGAAAAAATGGTAAATGTTGCTGTAAAGACACACAACAGTGAAGAGCAAAATTGTGTACAAAAATATAATCATTCATAGTTTAATAATTTAGAGACTTCATTTTTATACAAACATAAAACATGTTCCGACTTTTTTTCTCTTGGCCAAAATTTTACACTAGCCTAATTTATCTACATATGCAAAATGATCATTATTATGAAGCAGATTATCTAAATTCTTCATAATTGTCACTTTGTTGCATTTGTATGGTTTTGGATTTAGTGTTTGTTCAAACTATTTTTTTTTATCACTAATTTATTTTATTACTAAGAGGTTTGAACAAGAGTTGTGTGTAATCTGTGCAAACATTAACAAGGCAGCCGTGGCCTAAAGATTAGAGAGCTGGACTTGAGATTCAAAGGTTGCAGCCATTAAGGTCCGAGTCCCAGAACCAGCATGGATTGTTGTTGAATAAATATCCACCTCAATATGTGAGTTGTGTCTTCAAGGGCCCTATCATACACTCGGCGCAGTGTGGCGCAAGACACAGCGCAATAGTCTTTTGGTAGTTTCAGCTTGGCGCAAGAGTCGTTTTGAGGGGTTACGCTACGCTGTTTAAATAGCAAATGCATTAGCGCTCATATGTGCGCCCATAGGCGTTCTGGTCTAAAAAGGAAGGCGTTCTGAGGCGCACTGCAGGCGCGTTGCTATTTTGAGAAACTATAATAGATTTTTCATTAGACCAAAACAAACCTGGTCTAAACTCCGGCGCAGAGTTGCGCCTCACTTACGCACTGCTTAATACGCACAAGAGAGCAATAGGCAAATATCTTTACATATGAAAAAAATTTAATATTAAGGATATATACAGGATATAATAAGAATAGGTATAGGATATAAATATAAAGGATTAAAATATTACAAAACATATTATTTTCTAGCCTACATAAATATGAAAAATCACTGCTGTTATGTCTTCTTCATCTCGGGAGGCTTTTTCAGTTCATTCATAACAATTTTCTTTTGTATAATGTTATTATTATTAGCAGTATTATTTATTATATCCATATTTATATTTTTTTTATTAAAAACAAGCTTAGATTTGCCCACCTGTCAGGTTTTAGACCATATGGGGCACAGCATGTGTTTTAGGATATAACTCAGGTTTTTGAGCACATTTTGTTATTATTATTCATTTATTCGTTTGCTGGAAATTAGAACTCAATTTAGAAATAGTTTTGAAACGAATATTTGTGCTTAACAAACAAAATTATTTATTTATAGACTAATTGATGTCTGTGCGTAAAGGTTTCCCTATCCAAGAGCGAATGTGAAAATAGATCCATTATCTCTCATTCTCACGCAGTAGATGCTCTGTTTAACAGTTTTCTGTTAAAAAACTGTTAACTGTTTGCTAGTGAAATGCTCATTTTTTCCACTTAGACTTACTTTGCGTCCTGTAAATAGCGAATGCGCTCTTGGCGCGACGCAGTTGACTCTTAAAGGGAATGGGAGATGAGACTCTAATTGGTTTATTCTCAAAACACACCTATAACTTATTAAGAAAATAAACTCAACACTTTGAAACCATGCGCCACTGCGCAAAGCAGATTTCCCGTCCTTAAATTAGCAAAAACACGTCCTGACACGCCCTGAAAGCGTTTGCGCCCTGCGTTTTGCGCTCTGCGCATGGACCGTCAAAATAGAGCCCTAAGTGTCTTCAAGTCTTATGGTTTTGGAATGACAAAAGGATGAGTAC